TATGTACCTTATCTGTTGCCTTATTTTCCATCCTTGTTGACTTATTCAAAGGGGAAGGGATTGTGTGTTGACTTATTATCATTATGCATATCCATCGTTTGTTCTTTACCTGTCTTAGTTGTTCTTAGTTCTTAGAACCTGACAACTCGTAGTCCACAAACTACAAACACTCTGATTTCTCATTTATCGATGAGAACACGTAGGCACAAAAAATCCAATGTCTTGGCAAGCTCACTAACAACTAATTTTCTGTTAACATTTGCAACTTTAGGATTGGAGTCGCCGTGCTCCAGGTAGTCGTCCCGCCATGGACATTTCTCATGTTTACCTTTGCCACAGGACTCGGAGTCGCCGTTCTCTATTTAGTCGTCTCACCGTGGACATTCCCTTCCCTACTAACTTAACCTTGGTTTAGAGTCGCCGCACTCTATGTAGGTGTCTCACCGCAGATATTTACTTTTCCCATTGAAACCTTGACCACAGTCAAGAGTTCCTCACCCTTTTTGAAGGGAACTACAGTTGCTCTGATTCCATTCCTGTCAAAATACTTAGGCACGAGATGCGATATCTTGGCGAGCATACTTTGTATATACTTTAGATCTTTACTTTAGCACAGTTCCCTTAGCAAGCACGCTTTAGCATAACACGAATACTAACAAGAGGTTCTTGTAGATTACTACATATACTTAGGATGCTAACACCTTCCCTAGGTATAACCAATCCCCGAACCTTATATCTCTTAGCTGTGTTGTTACATAGCGCACTTAGGGTTTTCTTCGATCTTTACCCTTTCGTTTAGATAAATCAAAGCTCAGTGGTGAACTTCATGATTTGTGATTCAAGTTAATTAATAGCTTAATATCCGGTTCTCACCGTGACAATTTGTCGGAGTGTTTAAATTTTTTGAGATACTGTATGTGTCTAGGGAGGAGAACTTTAGGGAGGACCTTCTGTCCAAGCTTTCCAGCTCAAAGAAATCAGGGTATAACCATATTATAATTCAAAAGATGTTCACCATCCCTAGTATTGAGGAGGGCTAGACCAAAACTATTGAAGCATGCAACAAAGTACATTCTGATGTCAAGGAGGCTCTACAAAATGGGAATGGTATCTCCCATGTTATAGTGCCTGAGGGAACATGAAAATGCCTTAGCCTCGTTGAAGTGCATCAAAGGGCTTATGGCAGTCACATTGGCAGACAAGGCCTAGCCTAAAAGCTATCGAGGGCAGGGTATTATCGGCTTACCCTAATGTGGGACAATATTGTGTTTGTCAATAAATGCGAAAATGTCAGAGACACTCCAATCTGCATTATGCATTAGTTGAACTCATCCATTTTGTCACGAAACCTTGGCCATTTTATCAGTGGGGCATGGACATTTTAAGTCCTTTCCCCCTAGATTTCGACCAACTAAAGTTCTTGATCGCTGGAGTGCACTATTTCATAAAATGGATAAGGGTTGAAGTTGTATATAAGACCAAAGGGGAAAGGGTTTGTTGTTTTTATTGGTATACGATTATGCATAGGTTTTGTTTTCCAGGGGTCATCATTTTGGACAATGGAACTCAGTTCTCCAGCACTACTATGGTTGATTTTTGTCACAACCTATGAGTGCAAACAAAATTTATTATTTTGTCCACCCAAAGGTGAATGGGCAATTCGAATCATCAAACAAGTTAATATTGAAATGGATTAAGAAGAAGTTTGATGATGCCAAAAGGCTGTGGGTTGAGCAGTTGCACGAAGTAATATGATAGTATCACAAAATCCTCATTCAACTAACAAGGAAACTCCTTTCACTTTAGTATACATGGTGGATGCCATATTGTCTGTCAAAATCGACACACTTTCCTAAAAATACTCTCAGTTTAATGTAGAAGAGAATGAGGCAGGGTTAAAATGTGTCACTAATCTAATCGACAAAATAAAAGATGCTGCCCACATTCAAGAATTTGACGCCAAGCAAAGGCGACTAGAAGGTATAACTCTAAAATAGTTTGAAGGAAAATGAAGAATGGTGACTTGGTGTTGAGACAAATCTTCGTGCTCGCCCATTAGAGGAAACTACAACCCAACTGGAATGGACCATATCGCAATATCATAAGCTACCTCACAAAGCCTACATGCTTGAAGAGTTAGATGGACGACTCATTCCTGTAACATGGAACTCAGTTAATTTAAGATATTATTTTAATTGATTGTTACAAAGGCGAGTCACTTATCAATGTATCTTTTTGAAAAAGCTTTATTATTTGCAACATGTTTATTTGGTTTTGCAGCCCATTCGAATGTTAGATTTCCACAAGAAGATCCTTGTCGCCTTAAAAGGAAAATATGAATGCTGGACTCCCATAGGAAGATGCTTTCCACCTTAAAAAGGGCAATATGAATGATGTACTTATATGGGAAGATCCTTGTCACCTTAAAAGGAGCAATATAATTGTTGGAATTCCACATAAAGATCCTTGTCTCCTTAAAAAGGGAAATATGAATACTATGTTTCCACAGGAAGATCCTTGCCACCTTAAAAAGGGAAATGTGAATGTTACACTTCCATAAAAAGATCCTTTCCATCTTATAAAGGGGAAACATAAGCATTGTCTCTGTAAGACATCTCCCATGAGGGACTAAACTAAATTCTCACCTCAGGGGCTCACCTAAAGTCTCGCTTGAGAGACTCATCTAAAGTCCCATATGAGGGACTTGACTAAAGTCTCGCCTGAGGGACTCGACTAAAGTCTCACCTAAGGGACTCGACTAAAGTCTCACTGGAGGGACTCGACTAAAGTCATACCCGATGGAATCCACTAAAGTCTTGCCTGAAGGACTCAACTAAAGTCTTGCCTGAAGGACTCAACTAAAGTCTTACCTGAAGGACTCAACTAAAGTCTCGCCTGAGGGGCTCAATTTAAGCATCACTTGAGGAATTGACTAAAATCTCGCCTGAAGGACTAAACTAAAGTCTCGTTTGAGAGACCTAACTATAACTTCACATGAGGGACTCAACTAAAGTCTCACATGAGGGACTCAACTAAAGTCTCACATGAGGGACATAAGTAAAGTCTCAACTGAGTAGTTCATCTAAAGTCTCGATTAAGATACTCAACTAAAGTCTCGCCAGAGGGACTTAAATAAAATATCGCTAGAGGGACTTAATGAAAGTCTCTCTTGAGGGACTCGACTAAACTCTTGTCAGAAGGACTCAAATAAAGTCTCTCTTGAAGGGATAAACTAAAGTCTCGCTAGAGAGACTCAACTAAGGTCTCGCTAGAGTGACTAAACTAAAGTCTCTCATGAGACACTCAATTAAAGTCTTGCTAGAGGGACTTAACTAAAGTCTAGCATGATGGGCTTGACTAAAGTCTCGTTAGAGGGACTCAACTAAACTCTCGCCTCAAGGACTTCACTAAAGTATCATCTAAGGGATTCAATTAAAGTCTCGCATAAGGGACTCGACTAAAATCTCGTCAAAGGAATTTAGCTTAAGCCTCATTTAAAATAATCTATTTAAGGTTCCCTCTAGGACGTCTAAATGAAGGAGATGAAGTTAAATCACTTTCCATTTGACAAACCTTCGTGCTTGAGGAAATGTGTATTGGTATATTTGAAAAGGCCCACAAAGGACGAGGCAGAGGCAAGTGACATGACATCTCGCCCATATCACCTTACTAGTCCTTATTGTCCTCCATAATTAGCCAAAAAGCGTGATCATGAAGGGGGAGCGATGTGTCTCTAGTCAACAATAATGAAGAGGAAGTCGCGAGAAAACTAACCACACTCCTCTAAATAACATGAGATTAACTTTCCACTCCCATATTTTCTCAGAAGTGGTTACTATTCCTAATAGGCATGAAATCTAAACCTAATACGAATATAAATATCTCAATCCTAAAATTGAGAGAAGACGACCACATATTCACATGAATACATGACCAAAAACTTCTCACTTTGTCAAATGAGTTAGCTCTCAAACCTTCAACAATATGTAAAGATCTATGACAACCATTAATCATTAGGAGATCACGTATTGCACTTTTAAAAAATTAAAACATATAAATTTTATTAAAGATAAAATTTGACAAAAAAAAGATAACTCTTCATGTCACGTTTCATTAATAGTAAAATAAATGAATGTATTTTCAAACCAAATTTCATAGCATTAGTAAAATTAAACGTTATAAGTATGGATAATAAAAAAATTGAAAGTAATCAAATCAAAATTAAGAAAATAAATTATTGCATACTAATACAATAAAAACGAAATAGTACACAAACTTTTTTTATTTGTTTATAGAATTAGTTTAAATTTTAATGGATATATGCAAATAAAAAACCATAAATACTCTTTCTTTTTTTAGATTATGAAGGGCAAAGAAAACAACTACATAAAAACAATCCTCTCAAATAAAAATATATTATGTAATTAAAATAAAATAAAATAATTAATTTTTAATTATAATTTGATTAATAATACGTAATTAACTTTTATATTTTTACATATATATGAACTTGAAGCAAATGTACTATCAGTGTTGGAAAAACAGAAAATCCACTCCATACACAAGGAGCAAGTTTAGAGAAACACAATTCGAAATGCTTCCACACACCATAACATGAAACAACAACACTGAATCAAAATCAATTTTCATCTCTTCTATTTTCAATCTCTTCTCGAATTCAAACCTAATCAAAATCAAACCCTCCAACACCTGTAGATCTGTACAAAAAAACTTCAATTTCTCTTCATCCCAATTTACCCATTTTTTTGGGATTCTTCTAGTTGTATCATACCCTTAGAAATTTCATATTTTTCTTCTTAGATTTCGTTACTTTAGGTTTTTTAATCTCTAATCGTAACCCCATTTTGAGAAATCATCGTTTTAGGGGTTCGGCTTTAGTTATCATTTCAGTGATTTTGAAGAAACCCTAGCTTGTTGGTTGAGTTTAGCTTACTGTACATTCTTTTTCGGTAGAAATTTTTGGGATTTGAATCTGTAACATGAACAATAGAGCGAGATATCCACTTGGGAATGGGTTAGGTCGAGGGGGTGGTGGTGGAGGGTTTCAACAGAGACCACATCAACAACAGTATGTGCAGAGGCACATGATGCAAAATCAGCATCCGCAACAACAATACCAGCAGCATCAACAGAATCAACAATATCAGCAGCAGCAGCAACAACAACAACAGTGGCTGAGAAGGAACCAGTTGAGTGGTTCTGACACCAGTGTTGTGGAGGAGGTCGAGAAGACTGTGCAGTCTGAAACAAACGACTCTAGGTGCTCTTTGGTTTTTTGATTTTTGCTTTGTTTTTTAAGCTTTTGGAACCTAACCAGATTAATTTATTGTAGTTTTGCATTTGTATAATTGTTGGGACATAACTGGAGTAATTTCTTTCTTGGATATACATTTGTATATTTGTTTGTGTATTTGTCTTATAACTATGGCAAACACAGTCATATGCATTTTGATGTGGATAATTAATATAGTTTGTATGTTTGTGGTGTTGAATTTTGAATTTTTGATGTTAGGGCATGAGACCTTTTCGATGTTTGTACATTTGTGTACGTGGTTGTTTGCCCGGGCTGTCTATTAGGTGATATCTTGCTGTAGGAGGGAATCCTATCCTCTTTTAAAGGATATTTGCTGTTAATGTTTCTTTGTTGATATGGTTTATGTGTAACTTTGATAGCTTGATTATTTTAGCTCGCTGACTCTTTTCTTATCTGTTGATAACAATCTTTCTCCTTCCACTGTGGTTTACTTAATTTTCCTGTCATAGAGTGTAGTAAATTGATTTTATTTTCTTTTTCTATCTAGTGAAGAATCAAATTAATATATATTTTCATTTAATCAAGAGCTTTAGATGATTTTGAAAGTTATTATCATGGTTTGTAAATGGTTGTTGAAACACAAATTTGAGGAGTGAACCTGAATGCTTGATAGTGATTTATGAAGTTCTAGGTTCTGAATGTTTTATCTCTGTCTAACAACCAGAATTGCATTGATTTTTGTATAGTACTCTAATGTAAAGCTGAGTTGATGATGTCTACAATCGATTTTTAATGCCTTGCTATTGTATATCTAATATGATATGGGTTGATGTTTGCTCTATCATGTATTTCTGAAAGGTTTGAAATAGCTTAAAAATTCAATTATTCTACTGCCAGATAAAGCTAATGTGATTGTTTTTCCCTAAGAATGTCTTTTAATTTTATTCTCAATTGATAATGTATGTTAGTTCACAAGATTGGAAGGCAAGACTAAAGATTCCACCAGCTGATACACGCTATAGGACAGAGGTATGATTCCAAACAATTTAAAGCCGTTATCATATATATTCCAAGTGATTGTTTATTTAAATTATGTATTATGCTTTGGTTATATATTTTGTCTGATAATAGGGATCTTTGAGTTTGTACAGAACAGTACACATGTCTCGCTGGAGTTGATTCTCTGCATTGGTTTTAGCTCTCATTTTGTTGAGTCATGTCATTTTTAGTACCCTATGGCCTGTGCTCAGTGCTCTTTTAGACATTTGATTTGCTATGCCATTTTTCAGTTATTAGATGACCACGGCTTAGAATTTAGAGTATAAACATGCTTGTAAAACTGCGAACTCTGTTAATAAAATTTCTTTTACATCCAGAAATATAGGAAATAATCTCAGATTCTACTCATTCTCACCTTTCAAACCTCATTATTACAGAACTAATTTTTTAAATCATAAGATAAGTGTTAGATGTCAGATTTGTGGCTATATTTCCAAATGATATTCATAGTTTTCTGTTAACGGCCTGATGAATGTTATGATCTTGGAGTTAGTAATTTAAACATTGTGCTAGTCTTTACCTTTTATTAATTTTTCTACCCAGGACGTGACAGCAACTAAAGGAAATGAGTTTGAGGATTACTTTTTGAAGCGTGAGCTGCTAATGGGAATATATGAGAAGGGGTTTGAAAGGCCATCCCCTATCCAAGAAGAAAGCATTCCAATTGCCCTTACTGGTAGTGACATTCTTGCTAGGGCTAAAAATGGAACAGGCAAAACAGCTGCATTTTGCGTTCCTGCATTGGAAAAAATTGATCAAGATAACAATGTTATTCAAGGTAGGCTTCCTCTTCTTTGTTTACAAGATGCTTTGAAGTCTAGTAGAATGGATTACACTTTATTATGCCTCAGTTCCATTCTGGTAGCCTGCTGTTTGTTGTCAGCACTCAGCAATGTTTTCTTATTAAATTTTTTAAAACGAAATGAACTTTTTAATAGGGTAGGTCGGGCTATTTATCAATTTCATTTTATGAATATTCAAAGACTACAAGATTGACTACTTATCTGTTTTCAGCATTTCAACCAGAATGATGTTTGTTATGGGAGCTATTTATCAATATAATCTAAATATGAGTACTTTGGTCAAATTTTGCTTATGTTTCATTCTGAAAGGAGTTTAATTTTGCTTATATTTCGTCCTGGGTAGTATTGTGTGTAACCATTAACCAAGTCTTTTCCTATTTTTTTGATGACAAATCTGCAGACAGTGTTTTGGTGCCAATCGTCAAAGTTAATAGAAAATAGAAAAGGATATGTTTTGTTGTATCGATGCATGCTTTCACTTTTAATTGTTGTTATTTTGTGTAAATTTTAAAAAAAAAAAACCAACCGATTCTGCCCATGATTTGACCATTGTCTTTTGTTTTGTCCTGTCATGCAGTTGTTATACTGGTTCCAACACGAGAATTGGCTTTGCAAACATCTCAAGTATGTAAAGAGCTTGGAAAGCATTTGCAAATTCAAGTTATGGTCACAACAGGCGGTACAAGCCTGAAAGACGACATTATGCGTTTATATCAACCTGTCCATCTGCTAGTTGGTACTCCGGGAAGAATTTTGGATCTTGCAAAGAAGGGTGTATGCGTTCTGAAAGATTGTTCTATGCTTGTCATGGATGAGGTAAAAGACAGTTTACCAGATATTTACTAATTTTATAACGTTTGTAGAGAAGCATACTATTGTTTATTAGATGAGAAATTATGATAGGAGTAAGGAATGTTTAATATTGTCTGATATCTGGTCATGTTTCTATTGTTTTTGTCTGGTCCGCTAGGGTAGGGAATATCTGTCCCTGTCTAAGTTGCATTTTGAACTTTGTAGCAGGTGCAACAACTTCGTATATTGCATCTCTAATTTATGTTGTAAACATACAGCCGAACACCTTCACATTCAATTAACATTTTCTCTTTTTTTACTTTTATCTTTCTATCAGGCTGATAAACTTCTCTCCCCAGAGTTCCAGCCTTCAATAGAGCAGCTGATTCAATTTCTTCCTTCAAACCGTCAAATCCTTATGTTTTCAGCTACATTTCCCGTTACTGTAAAGGATTTCAAAGATAGATATCTTCGTAAACCATATATCATTAATCTTATGGACGAGCTAACTCTGAAGGGTATTACCCAATTTTATGCATTTGTGGAGGAGAGGCAGAAAGTCCACTGCCTAAATACTCTTTTCTCTAAGGTATATATGTTCATGCCAAAATATTGTAAATTTTTTTATTTAATTTATTTTCGAGATTTGGATATGATAGTAATATGGCTTCTATTACAGCTGCAAATAAACCAGTCAATCATTTTCTGCAATTCGGTCAATCGGGTTGAACTCCTTGCCAAGAAAATCACAGAATTAGGGTATTCATGTTTCTATATTCATGCTAAGATGTTGCAAGACCACCGTAATAGAGTTTTTCACGACTTCCGCAATGGTGCCTGCAGAAATCTTGTTTGTACTGGTATGTCAATGACAGTTTAGCATCCTGCTATAGATGAGCATGCATGTTTCTTTGTATTTACTACGACTTTCTTAAATATCTAACTGTTATCTGTATTTCCTTTATATCTGTTGTTAGAAATCAGTTTTTTAAGTTAATAGTTGCATAATTTATATTAGTAGTATACTTTATATGATTTACGTATGCAATTCATTAATGGAATGGGGATATTCTTGGTAATACGAAAGTGTCATAAATCTTGTTTGATATAACTGCTTTATTAAGCTTGTTTGATATAACTGCTTTATTAAGCTTGTTAGGTTTTCATTATTTTAACTCAATGATTAACTTTTTATCATTCTCATTCTGAAACAGATCTTTTCACTAGGGGAATAGATATCCAAGCAGTGAATGTTGTTATTAATTTTGATTTTCCCAAGAACTCGGAGACATATTTGCACAGGGTATGTTTGATTTCTGCATTTTCTCCTACATTGATAATGATCCTCTGTATGTGTTTTCATGGGTGCTCTGTTGATATATAGGTTGGTCGATCAGGGAGGTTTGGACACCTTGGTTTAGCAGTGAACTTAATAACCTATGAGGATCGTTTCAATTTGTAAGTATGTCTGTTAGATATGAGTTTCAGAGCTGTTCGGTGCCGATTTCTGACGCATTTCTATATTTGTTATCCAGGTATAGGATTGAACAAGAACTTGGCACTGAAATAAAACAAATTCCTCCATTCATTGATCAGGCCATATATTGTCGGTGACTGGTGGTCAATACCCTGTTTGTATTCTCAACTGTGGTGAATAGCATCATTGGTGAGTGATAGGAACCATTTTCCTTTGATATTTATGATCATGGCATCTTGTTTGTGGTATTTTTCTAAGAGTGCAAATAGATATCTCTATATTTTTATCTAACTGTCTGCAAGTTTGTTTCATTAGAGAAACAAATTGGATTAGTTAAGAGCATAAAACCAATAGTAACTGTTCATCGAAGAATCAATGGAATTAGATTAAAAACCAAATGCGCTCTCGAATAGAAAATTGGTAGCAAGAACCGAATGTTAATCAATTAAATGTTATCTTTATTATACTTTAAATATACTTTTTACTTGTGCACCTTATATTTATTCTTTTTCTAATGATTTGTCAACTATGATTCATTAGTTGGTGTTTCTGGTGCTTATTGCTTTTGTATCTTTTTTTACAGCATGACAGGATTGTCATGCAAGCAGGTGTGAATGCGCTGCATGAGGATTCAATAAGGAAGTTGGGGTATTGTTAGACCCGTTTGTTGAATGTTTTGTTATTTATTTCTGCTTTTAAGAGCCCTGGAAAAATAATTAGGACCTAAAGTTTAATAATGGGTTTTTAAATGCCAGACATATGCTTGGCTCCTTGGATTGCATTTGCAAATTGGTTGTTATTAATTGTTATTACTCTAGATTTTCCCATCTTGTTGGCTAACTGTTTAGAAGTGTGCCTTACTGTGATGACTTCCCTTCACACTGGCTATTTCCATTATGACATTTGAGTCTTTTGATTTGTCATTGTGATTCTCATGGGATTTTTCACATTTTCTGCTCAAATTATGATCGCATGTTTAATGATGGTATATTTTGGGTAATGTTTTTTATTTGATACTAGTTTGTTGATCTGAACCATGCTTGGATGACTTAGAGGTTATCAGTCACTTGAAAAAAGTGACAGACTTAATAGTTTGACGCACGTCGGAGTCATTTGTGTAGCATCAAGAAACAAATATTTTGTATCTCTAACAATCTGTCTTGTTATTATCAAAGTATAAGACACTTGTTAATACACTATTCTTATAGTAGTAGATATTGAAATATGAACATCGCTACCTATTTTTCTGAAGGAAACCTAGATCAATTCTTAAGTGGTAAATTTTAGAAAAGCATTACTAACTAGACTCAAGATTTAATTCCAAAAAGCTTCTTATTCTGCCAACCAAGTACCTTTATATTAGGATCCACTTAGATAAATTTCCTCCAATAATGTGAACCATGTGATCCTTTCATATTTTCTCTCTAATGAATCTCTTATTATATTTATTCGATATCATTTTATGTTTAAAGTTTTTTTTTTCTATGAAATTTGGAGAATCGGTCTAGATAATGTGGGGTTCTTTAGAATTGTTAGACATAGGGCATAATTGGTTGGGACTTTCTTCAAGGTAATTGGGCAACCGTGTTTTGTAATATATACGTAATATAAGAAGACCCGTTATAAGTTTAAGAAGATACATGAAAAGGGAAACTAATTCAGAGGGGAGACTTAGAAACTGATTCAAAGGGGAGACTTGGAAACTGATTCAAAGGGGAGACTTAATCGTCTTAATCATAATATTTCTTAACTTTTAATTTTAGTTGGCTAGTTTATAATATATTAGACAACCAATTCAATAGCACTCATGCGCACTACCCAATTATATTATTACGTTTGTTTCCTAATGAAGAGTACTCTCACCTTATCTTTTTATAAGTTAAAACAATGCTAGTGGAAATGATATAAAAATTTACTCACCACTTTTGATTTTTGGTGGCACAACATATATTATATTGTTTAAGACCAACTAAATAGTGTCATTGTTAAGGATTGTTGATCACTTCAAAAATGAGTGTGCTTAATATTAGGCGTATTTAATTATTTATTTAATTTTAAGTTTTAATTTTGTTGTCAACTACTGAAGGTATCTGGATGTAGAATTTGAAATTCAATCCATAAAAATAGAGGATCGCAAAGGCAATTCAAAAAGCTAAACGTGTACCTAAACAAGAGAAAAATATGTCCACACACAATTCCAATACTAGTTTAAGTTTTGATGACTTAACTCCACCAAGTCCACCTAGACGTATAATAAGAGATTTTGGTCGATAGACATTTGAAAAAGTGGTAGATAACGAGTTTCAATTAGTGAAGAAATGTTTCTTTGATATTTAATATTTTGTGCTTGTAGATTTGAGGAATACTCAATTTGACTGAAGCGTACTGATAGATCCATAAGAGCATCAGACAAGATTCAAGAAAGTATGTTCCATTCCCAACCCAACTAGAATAACTGAAATCCAAAATATGCTTCGATTATTCCAAAGTGGAACAATAAATATGTGTGACGAAGGAATAAGCTCTTTTGGTGCGGCGGTGAGATTTTTCGGTAAAAGAGTTTAGAGAAAATCTGAAAGGTTAACACTCCAATTCCCAGTGGAGTTTTAAAAATGTATTTTGAAAGTGAGAATGAGATAATACTTGTAATTAACATGTGGTGAGGTTTATATATGTCATGTGATTGAAACCATCCTCGTCTAATCTGTCATGTGATGTTGAAAGTCTTCATATGATATCCAATAATAGGGAGAGTTTAGGGTGTTAGGATCAAGCACCAACTATCCATCCGTCCTGCATGATGAAGTTTTGGATTATGCCTTCATAATTGTCAAAACAAATCCCCCACCCCCTAAGTCCTTACTTCTACTTGGTAGCACAAGGATTGTGGTTTCCGTATTTCCCTTTTTCTTCATTTCATTATTCTTGTTCTTATTCTTTCTTCATCCATGGCTAATTTAGGAAACACAAACATGAGTTTTATGGACATATCGGGGATAAAATAAGAGATGCCTCCTTGCATACTAAAGTGATTGACTCGTGGGAATAAAATAATAGATGCCTCCTTGTTAGGATTGGAAATGAGTCGAGTCGAGTCGAACTCACCTCAGTTTGACTCGACTCGTTAAGAATTGATTCGAGTTGACTCGACTCGTTAAGAATTGATTCGAGTTTGAATTCGACACGAATTTTTTTTAATCTCAAACTTGACTAGTTATAAGTTCACGAACAGTTCGGTTCAACTCGTTAGGTTAATCTCATTAGATTCACCTCACATGATTCACGGACTTAAAAACTATTTTTTTAAATATATATATATATATATATATATATATATATATATATATATATATATATATATATATATATATATATATATATATATATATATATATATATATATATATATATATATATATATATATATATATATATATATATATATATATATATATATATATATATATATATATATATATATATATATATATATATATATATATATATATATATATATATATATATATATATATATATATATATATATATATATATATATATATATATATATATATATATATATATATATATATATATATATATATATATATATATATATATATATATATATATATATATATATATATATATATATATATATATATATATATATATATATATATATATATATATATATATATATATATATATATATATATATATATATATATATATATATATATATATATATATATATATATATATATATATATATATATATATATATATATATATATATATATATATATATATATATATATATATATATATATATATATATATATATATATATATATATATATATATATATATATATATATTTTTTTTTTTTTTTAGTATATTTGACATTTTAAATAAATATATATTTTTAAAATAAAATATTAAAATAAAATAAAAGTTATCATATTAAAATTTAATTTTATCTTTGAAATCTACTCATTCAAAACCTAAACAACTTTCAAGAGATATATTTGAGAGTCTAATTCAAAAACTACTAAATTGAAGATTAAATTTATCTAAGATTTGAAGTAAATATTTAAACCTAATCTTAAAGATAGTATAATTTTTCTCATATGTAATCGAGTTGACTCATAAATCTAACGAGTCGAACTATGTATAGTTCAAGTTCAGCTCATTTAATTAAAGAACTTAATTTTTCGTTCATACTCAACTCATTTGGTTCATGAACCTATCTCAACTATTTAATGGTTGAATCGAATTCCGAACTATTCTCAAATTGATTCGGTTCATTACCAGCCCTACTCCTTGCATGCTGAAGCGATTGACCCGTAGGCATTGGATGTGGTTCCTCTAGATGTTATACCTCAATTTGTGAATTTTATACAAATTAGTAATAGTTGTGATTCTAGGATACAAATTAGTGATAGTTGTGATTCTAGGGGAAGTTATGATGATGGTTAAAATCAATCTCAGTGTCTTTAAGATGACTAGGATCCAAAGGAGCCCATCGAAGAGGATAGCGGAGCTAACCCATTTTTGCTTGACATTCTGGAGGTTTGTAGTGGTTTTCCTTTCCCTTAAGTGCACGTGGTGAACTCAAAAGGTTTATAGTGATTCACGTTTATATTAAGGATTTTAGGACTCTGAACCACGGAGAACCTAGTGATGACGAGATAAGGAGGTATCTTGAATATCTGGACCTATCTAGAACTCAAGGTCATGAATTTTTTATTTATTGAAAGTGAGGAGATGGTATGGAGGGGCAAAAAAGTATATAACTCCGCGCGATGCTGATCAATATCCTTGGGTGGAAAGGAAGGTATTGGGTACAAACTCCATTTTTAACGAGTCCGGTAAGTGGTTATGCAATTCCTTTGATGGGTGTTTCGAGACTTTCAATTAGGCGTTTTAATTCATGTCAAGATCACCCCATCTCAGCTGCATCTGGCGAGCTGTGCATATGCGAAAGTATGTCAATACTAGTGTGAGTATAGGGGTGGCACTCTGACTCTGAAGTTGTTCTTCCACTCATTTCCTTAAGAGAAGAAAATGTTTGATGTTTTTGTTAACTGCTTCAAGAAGTTCAAAGATCAATATCTTTTAGTTTTTCTTTGAAGTCTTGACGCACACTCGATTTTGTTAGTTCAACTTATTGGGAATTATTCCTTCTCCTTCATAACTCCTGTCATGCTTATTCTAAACGTTGTATGATTCACCGTTAGAAATGTTGCAGACATGTAATAAGGTGAAGCAATTTACTCTAGGAAACCATAGGAAATGTAACAAAAGTTTCTTAAGTTAAAAATGAATGCTTACTCGTATTAACATTTACATAACATACACATAAGATGAGAAATAAAAGTACACCACATCAGTCACACAAGTATTACAGCACAATCACAAACATACATTTCATCTTCTAAATCAAGCATCAGACCAAGTAATGTCAAGGCCACCCCATTGTTCTTTAGGCACGCCTAAAGCTTTCCACACAGCTTTGGAAGCATCCACAATGTTGTTTGGACAAGGAGGTTGGTAATCATGATCTTTATCGCATCCTTTTGTGGAGTCACACTCATCGACAACCATGGCCACCACACTTTTTCCATTCGCACTGATGGTAATATTTTTGAGGCACCTGCTCTCGTGGTTGAACCATCCGGTGGAAAGTGCAACTACAGGAGTATCGTCGGAATGATACTGCCTGTCACATTCAGAAGGGCCGCCTCCATCTCCACCTTTTTGGAAACTGTTAAGAGTGAGATATGCTTTGGTGTAAGTAGATACGGATGGAGAACATTGATAAGTAGTGTACATTTTTCCTTGCACACAACAATCAGAATCATTCTCTTGATTGCATTGTCCTGGAGGAGCATTCTTTCCTTCGATTCTACCGCTTGGGCGGCAAGTCTGGGCTATAGAATGCACACAAGTTGTCAAAAAGAGACAGAGAAACAATAGAAAAGAAAGCTTGGGGCAAAATCTCTTCATTTGTCCTCTTTGTTGGTGATTGATGATTTGGGGGGAGATTTAAGTGAGTATATATAGAGAAGTCCTCTCTGTGTATAAAGTGACCTGGTTGGGTTTGTAATAACAAAGCAAAAGAAAAAGATATATACAAGTTAAATTTTTGGTCAACAAATGTATTACTACACCTTTGAGGTCAAAGAAGAAGTTGTACACAAGAAGCTTGTTGTTTATTAAAATGCATAAGGTGGGGGGAATCAGTATTATTTGATATTACAAAACATATATTAATTTGTTCTTTATCACTTGTTGAGCTTCCTTCCTGCTAAATTCAGACAAAACGTAGACACGTGAAATTCCAATGCCATTTTCTGTGATACAATATTTATTTTGAATACTAACAAGACCTTGTTATTTATTATGTCTTAAAAGGTAAGCATTATTCCTTTGAATGATACTTTGTAGGTTTCTCTTCTACTAGATTGATTTATGCTCCTATTTGGAGAGTTACTGTTTTTTTATTATTATTTTTTTATGTTATTTTCTCATTTTTAAACATTGTTCAAGTTATTATTAACTTAGTAGACGATTAAATATAGACCTAAACTCAAATTTTTTAATTAAAGTTTTTATTAATTTTTTATTTATTAAATTTTAATTATGTTAAGAATATGATTTTATAAATATGAAGAGTAAATTTATATTATAACAAATTATTATGAATTATAATTTAGACTACAATGAATACACCGATTTGGCAAACAGAGAGCGTTGAAACTCTCTCCCCTTATTCAACCTAGTTGCCACTCTTTCTTTCTCTTCCCAAATCCATACTTTATGTGTCACCATATAGTCTTCCTTCTTTTTGTTGTAATGAGTTCCTTCCTTGGCACCACCCTTTTTTAAGTTGGATTTTTTCTCCATTCTACCTCTAGCACTGCCACACATATTTGAGATGGTTTCTTTGTCAGACTACTTCAAACTTATTCTAGGGTATCACCGGAAATTAACAAAATTAAATAACTTAAAACCATTGACCAATATCTTTAAAATTATAAAAAAAAATCGGATAAGCTCAGGTCGGCCCCCCTTTCTGCATAGGTCGATCGCTCGCGTATTTTCAGTCAAAATTCTGTTATGAGAAACTGTCTTTGTGGTTGTTATGTTGGTTAATTATTTTTTGACTTGTATATATAGTGAGTTTTGCTCTTTCATCAGACACACATATGAAAAACAAGAAAAGTGAAAATAGATACTGATTGTTCTCATCATCTTCATCCTCTTCCTTGTATTTTCTCAACAGCTAGACATAATCATTTTTGTTGTGCATTCTGCTTGTTATAGGTGATAACGTTCAAACATAGGATTGATGTAATAGGTTTGGGTTGAGAAATCAGTAGGTTTTTCTTGAATAAAACCGTTAGGGTTTTGTCCTCAAAGAATCTTGGATTTTGGGGGGCTTTTGCACGAAACGATCCATCACAGATTCAACCGAGCGAAGGTAATCGAAGAACGAGTTGTTCTGTCGGTTTAGTAGCGGTAACCAGAGGATTGTGAGAGGAAGATTCAGGTTCGAAGCGTTGGTGATCGAAATCATTCGGGTAAGATTTGAAGACCATGGGGGTTGTTCAAAGGGTGTGCCGTAATCAGAGGTTTATTCATCGCGTTTGAAGGACTATTCAGCTTGAATCAAGAGAAGAGAAGGAATAAGCTCTGCATCAACAATTGTGTTTGATTGTTTAATTTCTATTGTTTCTCTTGTAAACATTTACCAACATGTTATATCTATATACAAGTCTCAATTCTATTTTTAGAATTGAGGGCAGATGTACCTCGAGCGAGGACGACGGGGAACTGCCTCAACAAATCGGTGTTCTCTTTTACTTTTAAATTACTTAATTTCTGAGTTTGCGTAATCAAAATTCTAGTGTGAGTAGTGCTGAACCAATTTTGAAGCCTATTACAATCTTGATTGTAATTGAACACTTAAGCACTTCACTCTCATATTGGAATTCACTTGTGGTGCCTTGCACACCAAGTGTTTGACTAATTGTGTAAACAACAAACACGTGTGCTGTCTTTTCAATTTGATTATATTTTTCAAGCATTGGAAATAGTCAAACTTTATAGTGAATAAAATCTGGTTGATGTGTGTTCAAATTAGTGATTCTTAAATCTCGTTTTTATTGGATTCCATAGGCTTTGCGTATATCCGTTTTTTCCAGTAAAGGTTCGTTTTAGACGAATATAGTTCCTCGATCGCTTTCGCATAAAAACATTTTAAAACCAAATATTGGTAGCGCCGACTCTGTTTTTAACAAGTGATTTATTCAACCCCCTTCTAGATCTGCGCCATCGTCTAACAATCCAATCAAGGGGGAGAACTTGGTGTGCAAGCTCAACAAGTCACTGTATGGGTTGAGACAAGCATCTACACAATGGTATAAAAAGTTCATCTCCACCCTCAATTCAGTAAGTTTTGAACAGTCCTCAGCAAATCACTATCTATTTTTCAGTGGTAGTGGCTCATCTTTGGTCAACCTATTGGTATATGTAGATGACATAGTTCTTGCAGGTCCTAATCCTCAAAGCTTGAAACAAGTTGAAGAAATCCTAAAGCAACACTTTTCAAAGAAAGGTATCCATCTCTGTCAAAGAAAATTCTTCAAGATACATGTTACATTGCTTCCAAACCTGTTGGCGTTCCCTTGGATTCTGCACTATCATTCAATGACACTGATGGTGAACCTCTAGAAGACATTTCTGGCTATCGAAGATTGATGGGAAAACTTATGTATTTGACAATCTCGAGACCTGACATCACATATGCAGTAAATCAGTTAAGTCAGTTTATGCAACACCCTCATACCACCCATTTGACAACTGTTCATCATGTCTTGCAGTACCTTAAAGGCACTCTTGGAAAAGGGTTATTTTTCATACAAAATCTTCTTTTCGACTCACGACATTTGCAGATGCTAGTTGGGGTAGTTGCAAAGTCACAAGGAAATATACAACTGGGTTTTGTATTTTTTTGGGAGAAGCCTTGATATCTTGGAAATAAAAAAAATAACCCACTGTGGCTCGCTCATCTGTAGAAGCCGAGTATTACGCCTTAACTTCCCTCACATCAAAGCTGCTATGGATTAAACAATTGTTCAGGGCCTTTGAAATCAATTTGCAATTTGTGATGGTTTTTTGTGATAGCCAAGCTGCCGTTCAGCTGGCTTCAAATCCATTGAGTCATGAACGTTCCAAACATGTGGACATCGACTGTCACTTCATCTGTCAACATGTTTAAACGCAACTTCTGAAATTAGTTCATGTCAAGTCATCTCAGCAACTCACCGATCCTCTCACCAAAGCGCTATCAAGACCTTTGTATGATTTCCTTACATCCAAGTGGGGAATGCTTGATATCTACCTTCCCACTTGAGGGAAGTAGTAGAGGTATATAGGGAAAAAGTCTCCTTGAGACTTGGAGTGAGAGAAACTTATCTAATGTTCCTATAGTCTATATAAAAGATAGATTGAGTCTCATTTGGAACTAACTAGTCATGAGAATATAACAAAATTTGATAGTGAAATGCTCTCTTCATTTCTTTCATTTCCATTTTGTGTGTATTCTTCAATGACTATTGCTCATAGATCATGATGACTGAGCTACATTCGATACTTAAAGACTTTTATTTTGATAGTTAGTTATTGAACCATATGCTTTCCTCGACCATCGATTAAGGATTTTAAAATCATCCATCAATATTTCTTCTTGTAGTTCATTATAGTATTTAGACACCACCCGATGAGAGTGGAATATGGAACATAAATTCAAAAAAAGAAGAAATTGTCGTACTCTAATTTTATTCAGGTATTTTAAGTTTTCAGAGAATCAACAATATTTTATTTTGTTTAAAGTAATGATGCAATCTTATAGATAGACTAAATCAATGTAAATTTCTATTACGCGTAAAATTAATAAGCGTTGTTTTTAGGTTTAGCTCGCAACTATATTTTTATATTAAACGATATCACGCGTAGTTGGTTTCAGAGTATTTAATTTGACATTCCCACTTGAACCTGACACCCCTATCACGTATGAAAAGACGACACTGCCCTTGCAAAATCATTTCAGCCATTTTCCAAATTTATAGTATAAAGGCGGGAATTTGAAAAATCTGGTGCAATACTGGAACTTTGGAGAAAGCTATTGGAAATTTCAAAACAATAAGTCTTTTTATCGAGAATTGCACAATTTTCGGTATTTTGTACCAGAAATTTCAAAATTTTCGATGTTTATTCAAATATTTTTATCGAAAGTTTTAAAATTTCTGGTATAAACACCCTTGGAATTTACCAGAAATTTCAGAAACTTCGGTAGTTATAAAGACATGATTATGTACTAGAAATTTTTAAATTTCTGCTGTTGACAAAAAAAATTAGTTTTTACCGGAAATTTCAGAATTTCCGGTAGTTATAAAAACTTTGTTTTTTTTAACCAGAAATTCAGAAATTTCCGGTAGTTATAAAAACTTTGTTTAAGTTTTTCTTCTTTTGCAATGAAATACAGAGGCAGAGACGATACTATTGCATAGAAAACAATTGATAGAAAGGCATACCAGGCTAATGATGCTGAGGCTGAGACTTCTCAAATACAGAGTGACAAATGGTCCCAACCGGTTCACACCAGAAGTAGTTGGTTGAGCAGGGTCCGTTCCACGTACCTCGTAGCACTCGACGCTGACTGGTGCAGTCAGTAGAGCAACCTAGAGATGAGGTGGTGCATCCAACTGTTGTTGTTCCTGATCTGGTGGTTGCTAAGGAGGTTGCATATCCAGTTGTTGAGGAGGTTCCTGAGGAGGTGCTTGTTGAGGAAGTTGTTGCTTGAGTGATCCAGTCAGATGCTGATGTTGTTGATTTGGTTGCATCTGTTACTGTAGACAAATAGGTTATAACTCTTTCTATTGAGCCCTCTGTGCATACTGATAGAGGATTCCTTAGAGCACCCATTGGCCAATCGGTGCTTA